TTAAAATTAAAATTACACTCTACCTTGTTCAGTCATTTATTTTATAAGAAATTATTCTGTCAAGTAAGAAGAACTAGGATACAGGAGTTAAGACTGGCTACAAGCTGAACAACCAGGATTAAATTTCTGTTTAGGAACAGGGATTTTTCTCTTCACTGCAACATCCAGGCAGATATCAAGGCCCTACTGCATAGGGGACATGGAAGTGAAGCTTTGCACATTCTTGACCTTGACAGTTTGTATTAAGCTTTGTATCCTGGCTCTGGGGAATGTAGATCCGTGTGCTCATTGGATAATAGTCTGGCCACAGAGTTACTCTGGACATAGTGGCAAAGAGAAATCTCTCAACCCTGCCAGCAATCAAACCCTGGCTGTCTAAAACCACTTTATTGACAGCTGTACATAATCCTATTAATGCAGGTTTATTGTGTGCTTTGATGTTCAGATATCAAAGTTGCAGACCCAGTGGTAGCATTCTGTGAGACTGTAGTAGAGACGTCATCACTTAAATGTTTTGCTGAAACACCCAATAAGAAGAACAAGATCACAATGATTGCTGAGCCACTTGAAAAAGGACTTGCAGAAGATATTGAAAATGAAGTTGTCCAGATATCATGGAACAAGTGAGTCTTATGTTAGGACAGTACGTGTTCTTCTTTTTACCATCAATTTGTAATTTATTTTATCTTTTATGAATGTGTTAAATAGAACTCATCAGTTTGTATATATAAGCTTGTCTTATTATCAGTCATCACTTGTCTGTTACAGTTATTTACTGTATTAGTCTATACATATACTAAGAGCCACATTACTTTCCTAAAATGTATTTCTTCCAGCACGATAGTATATTGGTTTATTAATTCTTTGATATTGTCGCTGTGTTTGAACAAAGTAAGGAAATCAATGAAAGTCCAAAGTCTGTTCCAGTATCATACATTACCACCTGCTTTTCATATTTTTGTTCTCTTGTAAAGAGTACAGCTGAAACAACATCCTTAAATAACCAAAGTACTGATTGTTCATAACTAACCTTTTTCCAGGAAACGTTTAGGGGAGTTCTTCCAGACAAAGTATGATTGGGATCTGCTTGCAGCTCGTTCAATTTGGGCCTTTGGTCCTGATTCAACAGGCCCAAACATCCTTGTGGATGACACATTACCTTCAGAGGTAGACAAAGGATTGTTGAGTTCTGTAAAGGACTCAATTGTTCAAGGTTTCCAGTGGGGTACTCGGGAAGGACCCTTGTGTGAGGAACCAATCAGAAATGTCAAATTCAAGATTCTGGATGCTGTAATAGCAATGGAACCCTTGCATCGTGGTGGAGGTATGGAGTGTTTGGCGGCTACACCATTATAATATTTGACATTGTGCATTGTCTGTACTATATTTAATATATATGATGCTTCAGGAGTTGGGTGTATTCCTGTCTTCAGGTGAATGGTGGTTGTTTTTTGTTTTTTCCCCTGACATTTGTTTCTTATGTTTACATTAATGGTAGCAATTGGAATCAACCCAGAACTCTGTGCTAATCATCAGAGTTTAAGACTTGAATAGAACTAATTCTCACCAGACGTTGAGTCCGTCCAAAAAAACTGTTTCACACAGTGTCCTGCATCAGAAACCTTCAAACTTCAACAGTGAGTGAAGTTCATTATGTTTTCCATAGGTCAGATAATACCCACAGCACGGCGTGTTGCTTACTCAGCATTCCTTATGGCTACACCACGCCTGATGGAACCATATCTTTTTGTGGAGGTGCAAGCACCAGCTGATTGTGTGTCTGCTGTTTATACAGTACTTGCCAAACGACGGTAAGTGCTAATCATTTATAATTTAAATGTATTTATTGAATTCACAAGTATGTGAGAGGGAAGCTGAACCACTTTTGGGTATATTGCTATTGTATGTCAGTGAAGTATATGTTATAAGCAGAACTGTTAATAGAAGATATGCTCTTTGATCACTAATAACAACCCTATTTTTGAACACAGTTTAAGTCTAAATAATTCCTCCACAAGTTTCACATGTTCATCGTTGTCCATTTAAATGTTACCAAACCTATGCAACATGCCATTTAAAGAAAATAACAAGGTGTTAATACCAGCTGGTATGTTTTATGGAATAATTGATTACACAATTTTTTGGCATAAAATATGGACTTACGATATATTCCGAAGATGTAGGTTTGAATTTATTAAATTAATGTCAGGACCATTGAGGTATGCAGAATCATAGAAAATGCATTTGGAAAATATATGTACTCCAAATTGGAATATACTTCCTTATTCTTGTTTCTCAAAATCCACATTTGTTTGTTGTAACTAAACAGAGTTACTCATACACCTTTGCTGAGTTCCTTTATTTGTCGTCTCTTTTGTTATACATATAGTTTTACATTTTTATTGTTAACATTATTATCATAAAACAGGTATTAACATAAGTAATTAAAACCGTATACTGTATTTGATCTAATACTTATTCTATAAAACAGTTTTTATGTACTTGGGGTAAACTGTTCTTGTTTTTTCCAGAGGCCATGTGACACAAGATGCACCAGTTCCTGGCTCACCCCTTTATACCATCAAAGCCTTCATCCCAGCAATTGATTCATTTGGCTTTGAGACAGATTTGAGGACCCACACACAAGGACAGGCATTCTGTTTATCAGTGTTTCACCATTGGCAGGTGAGAAAGTGTTTTGTGTATTTTTTGTATATACCAGGTGCTCTGCTCTTGCTCACTTCGGTCACAAACCCTGTCCTCCTTCCCTCCTCTTTCTTATCCCAAATTTTAGGTATTTAGGAATGAAATAATTAGGAGTGTTAACAGAAAATTAATTTAAAAAATAGTAAATTTGTTGTCATTTTAAAAACTAAAAAATTAATAATTTTACTGTAAACAGTATTTCTGATTACATAGTCTTTATTGATATCTTCAGCTCCACTTACTTGAATGCTTTGATGAGATTTGCCCTTGACAAAGCTACATATGGTTGACTATGACCAAAGATGGGTGCCACAGGCTCGGTTATATGTAGTGTTAATTTTTTTAAAAAACTTCTGCTTATATACTGTGTCCTTCCATATACACAGTTTTGTGCACATCATAATTTTTGTATTAGATTTCACTGCAGAAGATTACTGTGTTTCACAGATTGTTCCTGGTGATCCTTTGGATAAAAGCATTGTTATACGTCCCCTTGAGCCACAGCCTGCAACTCATCTTGCTCGTGAGTTCATGATCAAGACTCGTCGTCGTAAAGGCCTGAGTGAAGATGTGTCTATCAACAAGTTCTTTGATGATCCTATGTTGCTTGAACTTGCTAGACAGGATGTCATGCTGAATTATCCTCTGTAAGCATCATCATCACAATGTCAGTGTCAGTCATAATATCTGTCAAATTTTAATATCTTATGTAATAAATTACTAAAAAACTTCCATTGAAAAGGACAGGAAAAAACATTTGTCTATTTATTTCTTGTGTACATCATTCATCGACTTTCTGCCATGTTGGGTCATATGAAAAATATGCCGTCTTGTCTTTCATTCCATACATGCTGCCCTTGTATCTGTGTTCAGTCTTTCCCTTCTCTTGGCCTCTCCCCTCTGTCCTTGCCTCCTCAGTGATATTTTGTTCAAAATCTTTATACTTTAAGTTATTATAGGAATGTGGTATAATGTCAATACCACTGTATCCTTAATTGAATCAAATATTCTTGTAATGTTTTCAGATCTTGTCTTATATCCTGGTCTTGGATTTGTCACTTCTTGTTCAGTTTGAAATACTCCATAGAAGGTGCATACTGACTGCTTTTAATTGGTTTAAATCTCAGTCCCTGTTTTATTTTATGCTCTGTATGTCCAAATAGGCCACATCGAAATGGTATCTTTAAGTATGGTAAAATTTCACACCTCTGTAGATTTTTTATGTACTTTTGATCAGTGAAATGTTTGCTAACTGCAGCTGTATTAGATTTCAGTGCAGTTGATTCATGCTTCTGTCTCATAGACTTTTGCAGCTGAATCAAACCAAGGCAGCATATGTGTGAACTATGATTGATTCCTCTCATAATTCATATGGTCACTGCTTACAGGTGATTTGTGATTTTGTCACATTGTAAATCTCTGTAGAGGTTATTCTTTGTGCTGTCATCACAGAAGTGTTTAGAGCTGCTGGACAGTGGCTGTCATACAGACCTGTTCTTATATTGTTTTTTCCATTCCAAAAAATAGTAACATTTTATTATTGAATGCTTGTTTTAATTTATTGAACTTGTCATGGGGTCCTAATTCATTGTTGCACTATGGTATATCTCAAGTTGAAAGCCATGGGAGCTCTAATAGGAAGAAGAGATGAGCTGTGCTGTCAGAGAAACAACTGGCTGAAGGTTATGTGATTGAAATTATAAATGATGTTTAACCTAAGTGAAATGAACATGAAATTATAAAAGAAAATAACATTTATAGTCGTAATTTGTATATTACACAAATAAATATGAATTTCTTCATTAAGGACAAGTTAGTTTCAAATGATGTGCACCATCTATGTCAATAGCACAAGATAAATTCTTAAATATTAACCTCTGTGTTCCATATTTTAAAATTCGGGGCCTATAAATTTAATGACTTGTGGAAAGCATTACTTTAATGCAATTCATGCAGATTATGTAGAACGTGTATTTCAAAATTTGTAATGATCTCGCACAAAAGCAAACGTCACAGCCAATCAAAGTCGCTTTGAATCGAACGTAGCCGAATAATACGTATTCGGTTTTGTACTTCCTGTTACAGGCTACACCAACATTTTTCCCTCAGACAAAGCAAGTTCCCAAACACTTTATAACATAAAATTAATTTTTAATCTGAATTATCGGAAATATGAATGATTTTCTGAAACAGAAAATAATATTTGAAGTTTCATAATTGTACTACTAATTGAGGTAACGTAATTTTGCCCTCTATTTATTTCTACAATTTTTACAACGTTGTCTCTCTGTAAATTTCTTCCGGCGATGCCGTTCATTGGCTCCGCCAACGCGGCAGACAACTTCAAAAATATATTGTCTAGGTTATGTAGGTGATGCTATAAAATATCTGATATACAGTGAAGGAAAACAACTCAAATTTGGTATTATAATATGGATCCAGCGGAAGTAGAATTTCTCGCCGAGAATCAGATGGTTAGCATAGTTCCAAACTTCAATTTTGAAAGAATATATCTTATATCTGGTGATATTGGTCCATTTCGAGCAGGTCTTCCAGTTCAAGTTCCCATTTGGATGGCTACAAATCTTCGACAGCGTCAGAAATGTCGAATAATAGCACCTGATTGGATGGACACTGAAAGACTGGAGCAAGTGAAGGAAGAAGAATCTCAATCCAGGTAAAATGAACTTAAAATCATTCTTAGAATCATCACGTGGGTGAGTGGGTCCCTTTCAAGTGTTACAGACACCAGGAGTATGAAGCTTAAAGAATTTGGAACCAGTGATTTTAATAGCAAGTGATGTCGTTATTGTCATCTCCAAAAATACTTATTATGGCTTGGCTTGAAATAGTATAAGCTGTTGCAATGTAACTGAATTAAGAAATCTAGATGTATATTGCCGACAGAACTTACCTGGAGTCAGGCATACTCTTGGGCAAATGCGTGTAGTTTGACAAGCTAGGTGCCTGTCCCAGAATACAATGAAGATTCCTCTTCCATGATCCTTTATATATAACAACGGTCTAGGCATACAACTAAAAGTTGCTGCAGTATAGGTGACCTATTGATGATGACATATAGAACAGAACTCTCAGCTGTAAGTTTATTCATTCCAGGGTTTTATTTTTATTTTAGTAAAGTAAATATGCAGGGAAATATAGTATTAGATGTTTATATTTGTGTTTGTATTAAGCTTATAATGATATGTTCCACATCTTTAGCTCATGGATCTGTGGACTAGTAAAGAACTCCATTTCTGATGCTAATAACAATCTGACTGACATTTTTTTGTGATTTTATCAGCCCTTTGAAGTAATGGTTGACTCATTACTGTAAAGTATTCTATAACCAGTACTGTCCATGTCTTTTATAGTTCATAACTTCATAATAATATTATTTTATATGATTCATTATGTTTTGGGATGCTGGGCTGTAACTGTAGACTAGTAAACATGAATAGAAGTAGCAGAGATTGCCATTGGTGTCAGAAGAGACTAATAAATATTATCCCAGAACTTATGCATTTAATAAAGTGTAATTTAATAAACCAAGAATCAAACTGCACATGGCTCTTAAGTTTTGTTGTTGCTATAGGGGTATACTGTCGCTTTCACAGGTACTTTACCAAAATGCCAAGTGAACATTACATGGTGGAAGGCCATATGTTGCTTGGAGTCGCTGCAGAGGACATTCCACATGCAGATGAAATTCGCACTATTCTTAAGGTTTGACAGAAATATTATATACATTTTAACATAACATCATTGCCTGTATTTATGCATTCTCTGCATATAGTTCTTCAAATTAATATTTAATAGCAGTGTAGTCTTAAAATTAAAAATGTTGGTGTGGTTTGGCATAAAGTAATGATTCTGTCTTCAGGGCTGAAGATGGAACCATAATATTCTTCCACGTACAAGTCCATATGTCACAACCCATAAGATTACCATCAACATATTCAACACTATGAACACCTTAAATCTCCTGTTATAAAATACAAATGAATACAAAAAATATTAATTGAACAGCTGATGAAATTAACATATAATTTTATTATTGTTTCTTTCAGGACATCTGGGACATGCGTATGTCCAAACTTCGGTCATCAGTGGATGCATTCATCAAAACTGGTGGCAGTCATGCAAAACTGGACCACCTGACAGCAATGGAGATAAATAGCATAAGGCCACTACTACCACATGCACTTGATGAATTATATAAGCTGCAGAAAGTTGTAAGAATCTTCGGAATTTTCTTATTGTATCTTATTATATAGCGTAACTTTTCATATCAACTGGAAAAATGTTTGGGGCCGGTTTTTTCTCAGATCTAAACACTTGAAGGTGACTATGTTATTTTGTTTGTATTGTGTGTGTTAGAGTAAAGTTTCTGCTGTTCCCAAACAGCATGTGATGAAGATGTGCAGGGACATAAAGGTAAAATTTTCACCAGGTAGTGGATTACAGTCTACTTAACACTCCAGCCACTTTTTGCTGAAGGAATTAAATCTCCATTTTCTCTCAGATGGGGATGTTTGTTACATAATTTTTCTGCTCAGTTCATTGTTCACATGAATACATTTGTTACAGTTCTGGGTTAAGATTAGTCATTCATATTTCCTCTCCCCATTTTTCCTTTCAGTTTTACTTAATAATCACACACACTGAAGTTGTTGTACGTGCCAGTGCTTGTGAACTAAACTTTTGTCACCTTCCTGATTTCCATATTTATTTATAGTAGCTCATCTTTGATGTCTCATGTAAAGTCGAGTCCACACTTACGCATTCTGCTGTAACATAACAGCATAGTGGAACAAGGGATTCTGAGGTTTATATGTGCACGAGACAGCATGCATTCTGGCAAATGTCCAAACTTGCTTCAGTTGCGTAACATAATATCCTTCGACATTCGCTGAAAAACCAACAGCAGCGTGGATCGTTGCACCATAAACTGAACATGATTGAATGTTACAGCAACATCTTACACATATACACGTTTGCCATTACGGTACGACGTAATGCGAAAGCTGAAGGGGAAGCTGAAGACTGATGCCCCACCATCCCTGTCATTACTACACTTTGCTTCTACCGTATTTTAATTGGGGTCCGCAGTGGCCGCGCGGTCTGAGGAGTGGGCCTTGTGCCGCTTGGTCGCTGGGACCGTGGGTTCGAATCCCACTCGAGCCATGGATGCTTGTCCACGTTTTTCTGTGTTGTGCTGTCCTGTGTACAGGTAGAGGCCTTGCGACGGGCCGATTCCTCGTCCAAGGAGTCCTACCGAATGTCTATAGATTGAGCCAACTAAAAGTTGGGACCCGCAGTGCTCAGGCACTTGAAGAACGGGTCGTTCCCAGTATACCCAGTATTTTAATTGCAACATTATGATTGTGACACCAACTTGAGCAGTTTGTGATTCAAACTGCGTGAGTTGAAAATAAGATAATTTTGGATTGGTCACTTCATTAGCCCAAATATTTGATAGTGTACTGTCTTATTGAATGGATCTGAATTATTTATTTATTATTTATTTCCAGACAAATGAGCCATCTCAGCAGTCGCTCACACAGGATATCTCACAGTGAATTGATACGGGCATCTCATTTGAAAAAACTGCTAGCCTGGTAAGTAGTGGTAACTGGTAAAAGCATGTGACCGTTGCTGCTTTGTGAAGAGTGAAGAGAAAGTGTGAGTCTCGTCTTGTGTACACAATTGAAGTGCGTTGCTGGACAGGAACATGTTGTCTGGGAATGGCTTCAGACCAGAAGAAGAATGAACTGTGTGTATGCACATAATTCAAATTTATTTATATATTCAGTTGTTATCCACCATTGCACCCAATCCTGGTCTACTTCCCATCTTCAAAACTTCATTCCCTGAGATCAATTTTAATATTATCCTCCCATCATCTCAGTCTTAATTTGTAGTAAAATTTCCAAGTGATTTTATTTGATACTGTCGAGTATGCCCTAATGCTTTATTAGTGAGTCCCTTGACATCGGGGCATTACGGCACTTGTTCAAGCGGCAGATGGAGGAAATCTCCAAATATTGAGGGTGGCTGCAAATATAAATGTGCCAAATAACAAGCAGGGAGATATCTGGCAGGAGCCAGTTCTCTGTAATAGGATTGGTATGGGGGATAATTTCCCTCACGATACAAAATTAGCTTCTGAAGTCATGAAAAAGTGTTGCACATTTTCGCACAGTTCATGCAACGTGAAGCTGACGCAAGATTTGGAACGACGAATGCCGATAGGCTGAATGTGCCAGTCACATTGATAATGGTAGCTAGAGAATTGGCGAAAGATTACGTATGTCCTGTGTCCGCTCGTACTGCAGATCCTGAAGCTGTTTCCTGACACCTGTGTTATATTGTGGTTCCTCTGTATTTACTTTTAATTCAGTGTTAATACATTCTGTAGTTCATTTTTTCCTGCCCATCCAGACTGAACTCTACATTAGAACAGGCAACCAATATCCTGTCCCTATCGCATTCTTCTACACTTGGTAAAATCAGAAGTACCAGTTGCGTTCCTAAAAATGTAATATCAGTCCCACAGAAATTATTTTATCCATCATGGAAGTACATGTCATAATTTAAAATATAATTTTAAGATGGAGGACGTCGTAAAATTGTGTGAAGAAAGACTGAGTGCAATAATACGTCGTCGCTTGCGCCTTACTAACTTGTTTGAAATTGGCATTGTTCATTGGTAGGCATACTAGTTGTGTCACGATTGTCACAATGACACACGGTTGTTTGTTATCTGTTGAACTTCACTGCTACAGTGTTCCTGTTTGTGGCGTAATAATTTGCAGTTGATATTGTGCCGATATGTGTTTTATTTGCACCAAAGTTCATTGACGTATTGTTTCGCAATAGCATGTACCGCTTGTGACTTCCAATTTGCGCCAGTGTTTTATTTGCTAGTGAAGATCTCTGGTGGCTGTGTTGATATCATTGTCACGATGACACAATGTTTCGGTTTATGACGTAATAATTGTATTACCCTCTGAAGACCATTGGTGCGTATTGCATTGCGTGAGACATTTCTCCTACCATCAATCCTCAAGAGGCCTAACGCCCCTATTCCCTCTCTACCCCTCCGCTTTCGCCCCCCCTCCCCCCGTCCTTTACTCGCGAGGAGTGAGGATCAGTCAGTCGCTGGTTTTGATACCGCGCGTAACGAATACTTAGAGTTGAATACGGTGTCATTGTAAATTAACCTGCTTTATCTAATCTAAATTTAATTTCAGGCGTGAAATATATTGAAATTATTTGAGTGTGGATCTCGATAATTTTATCGTGTGATTCTGTATTTTATGTACGAAATGAACGTCTTCATTCGTGAACAACAAAAGATTATGCAAATGCATTGAAAGTTAATAAAATCATGTTTATCCTGTTAGAAACAGTGCATAGCAAATTTTAGAGGATGTTGGTGCAAATGAGCGTCGGTATAATTTAAAGACGGACTAAGAAAATGTTCCTAAAAATATATGTAATAACGACGTGCGTTACCCGGAAAAGGAGGTTATGCATTTGTCTATAAGATGTAGAAAATTGAAGTTATCATGAGGTCTTATAATCTCGAAATGAAGGGAGCAACTTCCAAAGAACGTAATCCATCATTCAACCTGATTCTTGGTCAGAATTAATTTCTGCGGTGTTTTAGAACTAAACCTGTTTTGGAGTTACGGTGAGCAGAGAGACGACTGAGTTCAAGGTTTGAGAAAACAAACGCCTAGTGTGGGTTTGTTATGTAACAGATCACAAAATGGACATAACAGGAGGAACCAAAAATGATTCCCGTTGGAATGAATCACACATCAAATAACATAACGAGCTGTCACTGATTTACCCGTACTCGACTGTCGTTTGTTTACAAAACTGCACGACTGTACATTCATGTGAACGCAAAACATTAGCATAAGAGGAACTTACAATGATTTATGCAACGTCCTAGTTATCCCAATCGAGTAACTACAGCGAAATTTTATGTATCCAGAGACAAAACGTACAGAAAGAAAGAAAAAAGAATCTTAATTGAAGCGTTTATTTCATTGTCGTCATTTAATTTCCGACCGACTGCAAGGACATTAGGTCTTGTTTCCTGCGTTATGTTTCATCTTTGCCGCTTATCTGGAGAAGGGCCTGTTACAGAGAATACTATAAAACATTTTCAGTCTAGTCAGCGATTTATGGAAGTTTCGCGGAATATTGCAGAGTATCGTTGGCAATTTTCAGAACAGTTATTTCCGATGAAAGAAATTTCTTACGTAACGAGCGTTGTCAGAGTTTCGTTACGATTTGCGAAAGGTATAGTGGAATATCGACCACAATTTTGTGGACAGCTTCCGTACGGAAAGTGGTTACGGACAATGTTGATGTGCATTGTGATAATTCAGTAGTTCTGAAAGAAGAGCAACGTAGTAAATGGTGTGAAATGGCCAGTAATGCTACTAATTCTACCACTCACGAATTGTCTCCCAACATTCCTTACATGGCGTGTGAAATATTGGTGGCAGTGTGTGCTGTTATCGGCAATGCCCTTGTAATTCTTGTGTTCTGCCGTGAGAGGCGTCTCAGGAGACGAACCAATTATTACATCGTCTCGTTAGCGATAGCTGATCTGCTGGTGGGATTGCTTGGAATCCCGTTCGCCATTCTGGCCAGCCTGGGACTGCCCACAAATCTACACGCGTGCCTCTTCACGGTGTCTCTTCTAGTCGTCTTATGCACGATCTCTATCTTCTGCCTCGTCGCCGTGTCTGTGGACCGGTATTGGGCCATCCTGCATCCCATGGGATACTCGAGAAACGTCCGGACCAAGACTGCAATCGGTGAGTGCGTCGTCTACCCTAGAAGGAGAAACATGGGACGTTGTGTGAGTGAGATCTGTGGTTCTCACGTCGGTAAAGATGGCAGTGTTGTTCTGGGTTATTACGTGGTGTGGATTTGCAGGCAGGTAACAACATTTCGGAGGAATGTTAGCAGGTAACATCGATTCCACATGGCGTCACAACCTAACCCAGAAGAATATCAACATCTTACCCGCTGTAAGAACCTCAAATTTAACGTGGATCAAGATCGTCTTCAGGAGTTTATGGAAGAGATTACCTAAACCGAGTGTCTGTTACCGTGTTTTTAAACGCCTGCCGAGTAATTCTATTGTAGGCAGTTTAATCCAATCCGCATCTTTATAACTTGTTTCTTTCAGATCCGCTAGTCTTCTCAAGGTCTCAAAAGAGTTCCCTTTCTTTGATGTGTTCCGACCATTTCTCATTTCAGCCATGCGTATAAGCGAACTTAATGGTTCAATCCCTACATCGTATTTGGGAGTTCCCATGTTCGGTTATCGGGGTTAGCGGCAAGGGGACCGGCATTCTGACTCAGGCTTTGCGTTGTTTTGTTCATACCTTCTGCTTCCCTTCCAATTTATCATCGATTCGTAGCACTGAGATTGACGCTGCGTAACGTTGAGTTGGAAATGCGTCGTTAAATCAACAAAGAATTGATATACGCCAAGGTCTGTGATATGTCTGTCCCAGATGTTTTTCTTCCAAAAATTTTTTCGCACAAACATTATTTATCCCACCATTTTTATCGTTCTTTGTCACTTTGACAGTATTAGACAAGAAATACTCATAAAGTTCATTTATTAAGGGTCCCCATTCAGTTTTTTACTGTCTTTTGTTATTTATAGCTTTTAGTTCTAAACATTTTCGACAGATTTTTATTTGGAACTTTATCAGTATACGTTATTCTTCCTTAAATCTTTCCTACAGTTCAGAAATAATATTAATATTTGGGCCATGTATGTGACGTTTTCAATTTAAATCTTTTCAGTATGTTTTAAAAAGTACACAGAATATGGTAGGTATACTAGCTATGAATTTGTCAGTTAGGTTTTCAGTGAAAAAACACGTTTTTTTTAAATACATGTGGGCCTAGTCATCTGTGCAAAATGTCTTTGCTGTCCACGCTTTATCTTTAGTTTACTCAAGTATACAAACAGGTTTGGTGTGTTCAATGTTAATTGAGAATGACTTACAGGTCTGGTTTTTTGAGTTCTGTAGGGCAGTCCAGGTGTCGGCAAACTGTTTGTCATCGCGGGCCTCGCTGTCTGTCCATGTTTTGTCGAGGGCCGTAGAAATAAAAAATAAATCAGTGTCGTGAACAGCAAGCGAAACTCTATTGAACTTAAGATGTATGGCTGGCATTTACTTGGAAAGGGATACAGCTGTATTTCTACATGCATCTGACTTTCTTGTAAATACTTTTCGTTAGCTTTCAGACAGTTTGATTTCAGATCATTGTTAATTGTATAAAACGTCAGTTATTAATCACTCATGGCCCTGATGATGGAGACAGCAGTGACCTCTGAAGCGTTGGTAACCCTCTACCAGACTACATGGCGCTACAACCCAGAAGACAGCCAAATTCAGACTCTGCCATGAAAACCTCATCCTATACTGAAAGTGTCTTCAGAACGAAGATTCCAGGAATGTAGCTCGTAAATTCCGATATCCATTGGACAGAGGACTGGTTGTGACTCTGAGCTTGTCTCGACGTGTTGACTGAGAGAAAATCCCCGCACCTACCGGGTGACATCCGGCTGTAGCCAATCACTTTACTGAACTACCCGCTTCATGAAGTTTCTAAAATTGACAAAATGTTACATAAGCTGAGATAGAAATCCTCAATTAGAGAAATGCATCTGCAGAACGCCTCGTACCCGTCAAGGAGCCGACGAAAGAAGGAACGAAAGAGGAACACGTAGAGAATTGTAGGAAGAAAATTTGAGAAGACTGTAATGAAGTTTTATTTCCTGCGGACGAGCAGCAAACAAGTCCATTACTTCTTATTTAATTTAATTTAATTTTCTTTCTTGTACTTTACTTACCCACCTAAACGCAGTATCTTGTCCACTTTCGAAGATTTATTTCACCGTTAGTGAGATTTCAGTTTCTCACGACGACGAATTTTAAGACGACTGTCGTCTGGGTTGTTTCTCCGGATAGTCTAAGGACTTCGTCGATGTTTCAGAGGTGCTTACTGTCGCCTGCGTCAGAGTGATATCTCGGTAACTCCAGTACAGGGACTGCATTTATCATGTGATCGAAGATTTTGCAGGCTCTCTGCTTCCCGGAAAACTACCTGTAGGTCCCTTGCTCTCTCAGACAAATGCATTACCGTTCTTCGAACAGCAGGTGCTTCTACACGATTTGAATCCCAGTGACTTTTATCATGCATTTGAATAATCTTCATTCGCTGCAAGAACCGAAACATTTTTTTTACGTTGTGAGGCCTCCGTGGAAGTAGAACGTTAGCAGTTCGAGACTTTACTTTGAAAATAAGCGAATAACCAGCACCGGTATTAGGAATGTCTACCGTAACACCGTGAGGGACGCGGACTCATAATAAACTAGACGTGGCGTACTTTCAGTGAACTTATCGCAGAATTCATATCAAATACAAAAATAACGAAAATTAAATTGAGTAAAGTAATCTATCCCAAACAAAGATGACACAGAATTTGGATTTGTTGGAGAAATATTGAAGAAACAACTGTCGAAACGTATGCAGGAATGTTTAATTTTGCTAGTACAGGTTCATTTTGTAGCAGAGGTGGTGTAAGTAAGTGACACTCATATTATAAAGATATACAATATGTTGTTCGAACACTAACAGAAGAATCCATTTCTCTTCTGACATGTTTGTATAATTATTTATGTTTGTTATTGTATATTGTTATCGTTCGTGTTTTTTATCTGTTCTTTATGTCGCAATAATTGTTCATCATACGTATATGAAGTCAGTGAACCATGGAAGTAAAATAAAATGCCAGTTATCGGAAACGAATAATTCAATTCAATATCGATATAAAACTGTTCTGTTTGATTCGACAGGGGAGATTATTTCGTAGTCGCTTCGCCCTGCGTGATTTAAAAACTGACGTCAGAGAAGTGAGGATTGGGACTGGGTTCATGTGGCTAAGGCTAAAAAAGTCGGGAAGGATCTTAATCAGCTGAGCGACTATTAGCTTCTCAAGAATAACTCTTCTCCATGGGATTGGTCAATTATGCTGTGTAGGGTACTAAAATTAAAAAGCTCTTTTTGTGAAATTTTATCTATTCCCATTGATTATTGCTATACGTAGTACACACGGCTCGCCCGTTTTAACATTTTTAATTTATTCGCCCTAATAATAGTGTACTATCAGTAAGTAGGGTATAGAAATTACGTAGTTCTTCGTCGTGAGATGTTCTTTACTCTCGTTTATGAGTTCATAGCATTAATAAATGCTATGAACTCATCTATATTGTCGTTGGGTTTCTGTTGCGTGGTAGACCTTCGTTCGTGATAGTTTGTTGTAAGGTAGTCTCTTTGGTAAGGTGAGCTTAATTAATGGCAGTTGATATTCCAGTGACGCCTGTAATTACGTTTCCTTTGAAACCGTTATGACAGTGAGTTTACATTGATTGCAGGTCTGTATAAAGCAATCTCCAACCTCCCAGAAGGTTGATTGTGTTTGGTTAGGACCCCCTTGAAGCCTCTGCTTCTTTCATGGTCAGTGTTTTTCTGTGGTGGTACTTGATTCGAGAAACTTAATTTACAACTAGATTGTAAATTGAAATTTCTGCCATGATAATTAGAGTTTTGGCGGATTGTAATGAGATACAGACACTGAATTTTAATACGGGGCCTGGTTGAAGAAATAACTTCTTAATTATTAGTATATCAGTAAGAAAATTTCTGTCTTCTGGGTTGTTGCGCTGTGTAGTCTGGTCGATGTTTACCAACGTTTCAGAGATCATACTGCCTCCGTCATCAGGACGATGAATTAGTATGAAGATTTCCGTCTTCTGGGTTGTTGCGCTGTGTAGTCTGGTCGATGTTTACCAACGTTTCAGAGATCATACTGCCTCCGTCATCAGGACGATGAATTAGTATGAAGATTTCCGTCTTCTGGGTTGTTGCGCTGTGTAGTCTGGTCGATGTTTACCAACGTTTCAGAGATCATACTGCCTCCGTCATCAGGACGATGAATTAGTATGAAGATTTCCGTCTTCTGGGTTGTTGCGCTGTGTAGTCTGGTCGATGTTTACCAACGTTTCAGAGATCATACTGCCTCCGTCATCAGGACGATGAATTAGTATGAAGATTTCCGTCTTCTGGGTTGTTGCGCTGTGTAGTCTGGTCGATGTTTACCAACGTTTCAGAGATCATACTGCCTCCGTCATCAGGACGATGAATTAGTATGAAGATTTCCGTCTTCTGGGTTGTTGCGCTGTGTAGTCTGGTCGATGTTTACCAACGTTTCAGAGATCATACTGCCTCCGTGCTACAACCCAGAAGACAGAAATCTTCATACTCACCGCTGTGAAAACCTCAAATCTTACTTACTATATCAATGTTTGCGGGCAGAATGTCGAAAATTCAAAAAACTAAGAATGCCTTCTATGTGATGCAAATTTTTGTAGCCAGATATCTGAGTCTAGATACTTAGAAGCCTCGACTCACTGAGAGCATTCCGGCTCTGCGAATCTACAAATTGGAGTACATTTATTTTCCAAATAATTTATTTACGGCTTTGTGTACACTTACCTAATTGGCATCGATAATTATTTGTTGCGTATAGAAACTCAGTATTGTAGAGATAATCACACTACATATTTCAGCTTGCAAATCAGAAATTATTTCTCGTCATTGTCATCTAGCATTCAATGAATGAGAACATTTGTTGACCGACTTCAGTCGTCTGTTGTGTATTTGTTAAATGTATAACGTATCAGAACTGAGTTTGAAATGAAATCTTTTGATTGTAACAAGATATATA